GAGGAGCTGGAGCTGATAGAGAGAGCTTATCTGCACTCTCCCCAGATTTGAACCTGCGACCTGTCAGCATTCAGTCCTGCCGGCACAGGGGTTTAACCCACTGAGCCACCGGGGGCTCCTTCCCAACAGATGTCAGGTGATGCAATACTGGGAGCTGATAAGATACCAGCACTCTTTGACAGAAAAAGCTAAAGATCTTGTAAAACTAGAACTCTCTTGCTTCCATAGCATTAAGCCTTGGTTGTTAAAAGGATGGTACCAAACTGCATTAATTCTACAGTGTAGATTCACTCTTGGATGAGAGAGATCCAGGCTCAAATCTGCAGATATAAAGCTCACTGCTTGATCTTGGCATAACCACCATCCCTTAAACTACTTTGTGAAGGAGTTATAAGGACAAAAATGGAGGAAATAGACTAATCTATGCTTTTGGGAACACTTTGGAAAGAAAAAGATTACTGTATTCCATAAATTCTCAGAAGTAATATAAACATGTAATCTCAGAACCCAGAAACTTCTATCAATATTCTGAAATGCCTTTAAACCTGATCCCTTGCAGCCTGCCTTTCCCCAGCACTATGGAGTCCAGCAAGACTATATTCTCCTACCATTTTTTTAAAAAGAGGAGATTTCAGGGTATACCAACTTTGAAGCAAAGATTAGAAAATTAGTGAAAACATGCCATTTAACCTTTTTAATGTTACCTTTTTTAAAAATCTTACATTTACATTGTAATTGGGGCAGTAATTTTAATTTCATTAATTATCACGTAGTATTTATTGCTCTCAGTGGCCCCAAAAATCCTGCCTTAGGGTCCATGATAGGTCTGCCTAAGTTAGAAATGAATTCAGGCCCCACAATAACAACAAATGGTAATAAACATATTTCAAGAATGCAGATGGAAAATTCCATCCATTATTTCATTTCCCTACCCTTGTCTCTGGGGTGAGAAGGAAAAAAAATTGTACTCATATTTTTTTTTTTAAAAAAAAACAAAAACCTATTACTCACCTGCTTAAAAGGAATGATACCAGACAAAACATACAAACAGAGCCAATATGCAGAAAATATAAACATTTATCTTTAAATATTAATCATAACCAATCCTTCCCTAGACCTCACTTGCATAATAGGGTATCAGACCTCCCATACCCCTCAATGATACTCCAACAGAACAATTCTCAGAAGTCTTTTTTTAAAAAAGAAGCAAAGGAATCGTTAACAGTAGTGCCATTATGCCTCAGAAGAACCAGGTTCACAAGCATGTTATCATAATCTGTATCCTTTATCACTCATGACATCCCCAAAATACTGAAGAGGGAATCAATCACTGCACATTGTGCTGGGTCTGAAAAAGACACGGAGGATCTGGAAAAGCTCACATAGGGAGGTGGCCCCTTCCATACTGCATGTATTCAGAATCTGGCAAATTCCTCCTCAAAATCCTCCTTCCTCCAGCATTTTACGTCATTGGTGTAGTTTTGAAAACAGTCGCTTGTAGGAATTTTCTTTCTGGAGACCTGATGCTGAGGTTGACAGCTGTTAAGCATTGATTAGGTGAGAAAGATAGAAACAGCAATTAGGAGAAGGAAAAAGAAATAGAAATATCACCTGCATGGTTGTTTGAGCTTGAGATATATTGCATCCTGCTTGATGTGATGATGGGTGTCAGTCTAAAGGCTTTTAGAGCAAGGAAGAGATTGATAATTATTTGCTGTTGCACCTGAGTGGATTGCTGCTGGAAAAAAAGAAAAGAAAACCGCCCCAGAATGCTGTACCCACATGCCCCTTGGTCTGATGACCAACCTGAAGTGCTCCTCATATTTCTGGGCATTATTTGTTCAACTTAATTGACAACACATTTGTCCAGAGCTTTATATCAATCCCCAAATATCTGGAAACTTTAATAAAAAACCCCCCACTCAAACTCTGCTTAATTTCATTGATTTCAATTATTAGGTAAAGGTTTCCCCAACATTAAGTCTAGCCGTGACCGACTCCGGGATGATGGTGCACATCTCCATTTCTAAGTTGAAGAGCCGGCTTTGTCCATCAATACCTCCAAGGTCATATGGCTAGCATGACTGCATGGAGTGCCATTACCTTTTCGCAGATGTGGTACCTATTGATGTACTCACATTTGCATGTTTTTGAACTGCTAGCTTGGTAGTAGCTGGACCTAGCAGCGGGACCTCACTTTCTGGATTCGAACCACCAACCTTTCAGTCAGCAAGTTCAGCAGCTCAGCGGTTTTAACCCACTGGACCACCAGGGGTTGCAGTTATTACATATGAGCAATCTGGTTCCACCCTAGTGAACAGTCTTATCATAGAATCATATAATCAAAGAGTTGGAAGAGACCTCATGGGCCATCCAGTCCAACCCCCTGCCAAGACAGGAAATTGCATTCAAATCACCCCTGACAGATGGCCATCCAGCCTCTGTTTAAAAGCTTCCAAAGAAGGAGCCTCCACCACACTCCGGGGCAGAGAGTTCCACTGCTGAACGGCTCTCACAGTCAGGAAGTTCTTCCTCATGTTCAGATGGAATCTCCTCTCTTGTAGTTTGAAGCCATTGTTCCGCGTCCTAGTCTCCAGGGAAGCAGTAACAAGCTTGCTCCCTCCTCCCTGTGGCTTCCTCTCACATATTTATACATGGCTATCATATCCCCTCTCAGCCTTCTCTTCTTCAGGCTAAACATGCCCAGCTCCTTAAGCAGCAATCCATGTGAAAAATCTCAATAATCATATTCTAATTACTGGGCCTTGCTCAATGTCAGAAATACTGGTACCTGTTTTGATAAAGTTTTACAGGAATTTCTCAGAGTGAGGATGACACATTATAATTGGCCTTTTCTCCTACAATATTATCTATAAATGACATTGAGAACCATGTGCTGATCTCATGTTTTGATCCCAGCTCTTTATATAATTTTTAAGGATGAAGAAAACTTTGCCTTGGGAAAAGATGATACTAGACTTTATTCAACTGATAAGAACCTCCCATTTGTTCTGAGAGGGAAAGCTTGCAAACACTGATATGTTGTCATATTTGTCCTCCCAGTACTTTCTAATACACTTGTTTTCATTATAGCATGGATAGAATCCAACAACTAAAGACTAGTAGGAGATTTTGCCTATCTGGCCTGTTAAGATTTATTTTAAAAAGAAGAAAAAGAAAAGGGTATACCTGTGTAGTAGCATGCGGAATGTATTATTAAAACACACTCTAAGAGCCATCTTGGCCTAATAGGAAGAATCAGGTTTAATGATCACCTACACTACATCTTTATAAAGTCTAATTTATAGACTCTAACCCAGGGGTCCTCAAACTTTTTAAACAGAGGGCCAGGTGACAGCCCCGCAAATTGTTGGAGGGCCGGATTATAATTTGAAAAAAACATGAATGAATTCCTATGCACATTGCACATATCTTATTTGTAGTGCAAAAGACACTTAAAAACAATACAATAATTAAAATGAAGAAAAATTTTAACAAATATAAACTTATTATTATTTCAATGGGAAGTGTGGGCCTACTTTTGGCTGATGAGATAGGATTGTTGTTGTTGTTGTTGCTGTTGTTGTGTGCTTTCAACTCATTTCAGATTTAGGTTGACCCTGAGCAAGGGCCAGGTAAATGACCTTGGAGGGCCGTATATGGCCCCTGGGCCTTAGTTTGAGGACCACTGCTCTAACCCATGTGGTAATATTATTGATAAACATGCATTCTTAATATCATTAGTATCAGATGGGTAGTCTGGTACATGGGGTAATATCATTGATAAATATGAATTCTTAATATCATTAGTATCAGATAGGTAGTCAAGAAAATCCTGGACTAACTAAATGTTTTCATATTTTTAAAAAGTATGTATTAAATAGATATCTGTCATGCAGAAAGTTGCAGTCTTCTGTCAGGAAGCAAACCAGGAACTAAATATTCCAGCTAGGCTGCAATTAAGAACTGATGTCATTCAACTGAGGAGATCCAGTTGGTTAGCTGAGAGCCAACAGGTGGGATCACGTGGAAAAATGGCATAGGTAGCTGGAGGTTAGATCATTTGGGTGTTGAAAGCAATGTTAGTGAAATTGTTACCGCCTGAATATCTGCTGATGAACCTTGACTTTGTTCTGTGGCATACATTTTGGCTTGCAGCCTCCGTGTTGGTAAATTACTTGGCTTTGAATATTTTGCAAAGAACTTTGGATTACTCTTGTGTCTTACCCTTATTTTGGCTGACTGCTGTGGATGAACTCGGACTGCTTTGAACTGTGATACAGTCTGCATCTGTTTCAGTAATTTGGTGGATAGGACTCTGACAGCTACTCCTAGACTGTGGAACTTGCTCCCAAGAGAGACCAGGATGGCCCTATCTCTGCTGGCTTTCCATGAGCAGGTTAGGACCTTCCTCTGCCAGTAGGCATTTGAGGAAGGATAAGGGGCATACTGCTTGGGAGTTTGTGGGTGGGATGGGGGAGGATTGTGAGTTTAAAATGCATTTTAATTAATGGTATTTAAGTGTATTTCTAACCAGATACACAGCACTATATGACTGTTTTTTTTTTAATTTTTGTATTTGCCTTGTTTTTAATTGATTGACATGTATGGTTGTTAGCTTCCTACAGTTTTGTGTTAGCACAAGCCCTTGCCCTGCCCTATCAATCCTGAACATGCCCACTTTTCCTGGCTACTGATCACAATGTCAGTTGAAGTTTTTTAAAATGTTATTGTTTTGGTTTTATTGTTTTTTATTATATTTTACCTGTTATATGTTTTAAGTATGTTACTTTGTAACCCTTGTTTATGTTGGGCTTGATCCTCATGTAAGCCTCACTGAGTCCCTTCAGGCAGATGGTGGCGGAATATAAGAATAAAGTTGTTGTTGTTGTCTTTATTATTCCCTGTGTCCCCTTGGATAGAAAGGTGGGGTATAAAGTAAATAAGAAAATAAACAGTCTGTCCTTGTGTAGCTTCTCTCTTTTCCTCTCCTCCTTCAGATTTGTCTTCAGCCTGATTACCCAGACTGAAGATGTCATGCTGGTTATGGTAAGGTGGGAGTTGTTATCCAAAAACATAACTTTACTAGATTCTCCGGGGGAAGCTTAATTAAACTTGCCTGAATTGTTTTCTCCCTGGTGGAGCAGAATTCATTTCTTGACTTGTTCTGGGTTGAAAATATTTTCATAATGTGAAATGTGAAATATACCAGTACAGTGTTTACAAGAAAACTCCCTGAAATGGCTGCCTGGAGACTTGCCTACCAACATTTCCAAAGTCCTCCAAAGTAAAACTTGAAAAAATATACATCCGTTTTATTATTCTGCAATCTTGTTAGCATTGAAAACAGAATAGTTGTGGCTTATTTTTGTGCTTTTATTAGGAATTTGATAGGTAGACACCAGGCAATGAAGTTTTTTACAACTTGATTATAAACGCCTGATAGTTTTTGTATTACAACCTCCCCCCCCCCCAACCAATAGATTCTGCATCCATAGATTCCACCATCCACAGCTCAGAAATATATATATATATATTCAATTTTAAAAGCAAAGTATGATTCTGTCATTTTGTATAAGGAACACAATTTTACTACACCACAGCATGTAATGGCTTTTGAAAAGCCACTGATTTGGGTATCCCTAGGGAGTCCTGGAACCAAACCCAGCAAGAGCCTAATTTGTAATCTCCCAAAATTACATGGGTGCTGGTTGAAAAGTTGCAAACCTGACACAATTAAATCAAATAGAAAAAATAGGCTGGGCCTATAGGCAAAGAGGAATGAGGTGATAGACTATATCACTGTAAAATGTGATGGAAGGATTTGCTTCAGAATGCTTTCTCTTGTGAAAAATTCTGATAAGAGAAATTTTATACCAGGTAATAGAAGTCTTATCTTTCCAATACTTCTGCCTATTTGAGCACTTCCCCCTATTTGCAATATATTTGGGGGGTTAGGTTCAAAAACATGGTCATCACTGACTTGCAGTTACCATATCATCACCGCGTTCTCCTGCCTGTTGAGATAAGACTTTTGATTCCGAGCTCATAAAATCTTTCTGCATTTCTCTGTTGGATTGACTCCAGATATTCTGGGATGCTGAGACACTGTGCTAAAACACTTGATGCAAGACAAAAGCCACAGAAGACTCATTCAGCTTCTTAATTTGCTATGTTTATGTTCCTAGAGAGGTTTTCTCTTCTTCCAAATCCCCTTGTGTGTGTGAAGAAAGCAGCTCTGTTTGATGGATGTCTTTGCCATAGAGGTCTCTCTCTGGCTTTTCAGAAAATCTGCTGATGCTCTGCTTTTATGCCTTCTTCATGCAGGCAAAGCAGTGGGATACTGGAATAGCTATATTTTGGGATACAAAATGGTACTGCTCTTGCTGTAGTTTCAGAAGAAATCAATAGATATTTATTTGCAGGAGATTGCTCATCAACGCTGGAGTGTTGAGAGCAAAATTGTGCCTCATCTTTTTTTAATATGCTGAATTGTTGGGGGAGTGGCTGAAATATGACAGAAAAGTGCCTTTTGTTTTGAGCTGTGCCGCGTGGTATTGCTTAATTGGCAGTTTGCAAAGCTATAAATGACTTCTTTTGGGCTATTTGCTTGAATAACTGTCAGTACTCAATTATTCTGGTGTGTACTATACTCTCCAGTTCTATTGCAGTCCACATAATCTTCTCTGAGCTGTTGTGAAATGGAGCTTTGTTAAACAATACTTGATGTACTTCAAGTCCATCAAAATATGAAAATATTTTTTTTAAATGAAGATTTGATTGACATATTAATCAAACTGCTGGCCCAATAAAGTCACTCCAATACTGTGCCAGCACTGTAGAGACACTGTATATGGCTTTTGGATGCACAGACTTCTACCAAGTACTTCATAGTCTCATAGAAACCAACCTCTGGTGAACCATTGCTTGGTCTGGTGGTATGTGGATCTCAGGAGTTTTATTCCTGTACCAGATAATAGACTTTTGTTTTAGTGCATTTCTAATTCTATAATGATGTAGTTCTCAACCTGTGGATCTCCAGATGTTTTGGCTTTCAACTCCCAGAAATCCTAACAGCTGGAAAACTGGCTGGAATTTCTTGGAGTTGTAGACCAAAACACCTGGGGATCCACAAGTTGGGAACTAATACTGTAATGGTATGGTATTTTAAATAATTATGTCAAATTTATGGATATTGGTTTAATTTCCACAACAAAAATAGTATTTCAAAAAGAAAAACTAGCATTGTTGTTGCATGCACTTCAAGCAATTTATTACTTCTACTTGGCAGAATTTTTTCAGGAGGGGTTTAATTTTGTCTTCCTCTGCAGCTGAACAAGTATGATTTGTCAAAGCATAACTGATGTGATATCATTAAATGTATTTTTCTTGTATTGGTCCCATATTATGGAATGCCTTCTCTGCAGGTGTAGGAACAGAATTAGGAAAGTCATTTAAACATATTCTTTAATTAAACTTTTTAATTGCCTTAGTTCATTGTGTTGCTTTTAATGTGCTTAATTTCTCTTTTCATAACTCCATATATTTGTGCATCACTTGGATTTGGTGCAAGGTTATATAAATAAATGTAAAACTATAAAATCTATTACTGGAAATCTTGAAATAAAGCATTCTTGATGATCCTGGGAATGTATAAGATGAATCCTCGGAGGTTCAGCAGGATGCCTCTCTCCCCCCCCCCCCCAAATGTATCCATCACAGAAATATATTTTCTATTATTGATTTTTCAATTGTGTGCCTTGAAGTCATTTCTGGATTTGGTGACCTCAAGGTGACCTTATCACTGGATCTTCTTGGTAAAAACTATTACTATTGCCTTCCTCTGAGGTTGGGGGAGTGTGGCTTGCCCAAGATTACCCAGTAGGTAATCAGTCTAAAGACCAGGGTTCAAATACTTGTTCTACCATGGCAAGCGAGTGACTGTTCTTGGGCAGGTCACACTCTTTCAAGAAAGTTTTTAAAAATCCTTCTCTGAAGAAATCTTGTCAAGAAAGATAAAGTTGGAAATGATGTAAAGGCACATAATATTATATAGTACCTTTATATATTTAATATGTTCATGGAAAATGAACTTAAATGATACATTTGGTAATGTAAAGGTAGTTGTAGGTTTTTTGGGCTTATATGGCCATGTTCTAGAAGCATTCTCCCCTGGTATTTTAAATTGCTTTTAAATTTTGTTAGATTTTAGCTATTCTTGTAAGCCGCTCCGAGCCCCAGGGGAGTGGCGGCATATAAGTTCAAATAATAAATAAATAAATAAAATATTTCACCTGCATCTATGGCAACCACCCTCAGAGGTTGTGAAATGTAAAGGTATTTTCTTTATATATTTATATATATAAATGTTATTTCTGTAATAATATCAGGCTTTTTTTCACTCTTTAGCTAAATCCAAAAAATGTTTGGTTTACAATTCCTTAAACTTCAATTAGTGCTTCTCTTGGGGAAACAGTCCAAAGTGTTAGGGAAGGGAGCAACCTTTTCTTGTTCCTTTTTTATTTCTATAATTTTACTCACAGGTGCTGCCAGGCTTTTTCAGCTCAGTTGACAAAAATAACATGGTTATGCTTGAACACTCTACATCTTGAAGTGCACAGGGGAGCATTTACTATTCTGTCTCAGGCAGCAAAATATCTTGGGACTGAAGCTTGAAAAAATAACACATTAAAAGTAATTATGTTTGCTGTAGCTCATTGCTCATTGCAGGGGAATTGGAATATAATGACAGTGCTTTTGCAGAATAGTGTAATAACTGATAAATATGTTGATTACTTTTTACTGAAATGCAGGGATGATAGCCAGATGGTGTTGGACTGTAAGCCCCATTAATTTGGGCCAATATAGCCAATGGTGAGGCCAGATGAGAGTTGCAGTCCAAAAATGTCTGAAGGATGGCAAGATTGTTGAACATGGTGTAATTTGGAAAAGTTAATCTTTCTAAAATTGGTTGAGGGTGTGGGCGATTTGAATCTTTTTTTTTCTGTTTTAAAGTATTTAGCAAGGAAATACTGGCTCAACAGTAGAACATGTGAAAAAGTTTTGGAATCCTCATGGACAACAAGTAAAACATGAGCTGTCATGCAGCAGCAAATGTCATACAGCAGGGGGGGGGGAAAGCCAATGGGATTTTGACCTGCATCAATAGGAGTGTCTAGATCCAAGGAAGTCATGCTACCCCTCTATTCCGCCTTGGGCAGACCACACCTGGAATACTGTGTCCAATTCTGGGCATCAAAATTGAAAGGAGATGTTAGTAAACTAGAATGTGTTCAGAGGAGGGTGACTAAAATTATCAAGGGTCTGAAGAACAGGTCTTATGAGGAGCGGCTTAAAGAGCTGGGCATGTTTAGCCTGCAGAAGAGAAAGGCTGAGAGGAGACATGCTGACCCTGTAAAAATATGTGAGGGAAAGTCATAGGGAGGACAGGGCAAGCTCATTTTCAGCTGCACTGGAAACTAGGACCTGGAACAATGGATTCAAACTACAGGAAAGGAGATTTCACCTGAACATTAGGAAGAACTTCCTGACTGTGAAAGCTATTCAGCAGTGGCACTCTCTGCCCCAGAGTGTGGTGGAGGCTCCTTCTTTGGAAGCTCTTAAGGTCATCTGTTGAGACTGCTTTGAATGTGATTTTCTTGGCAGGGGGTTGGACTGGATGGCCCATGAGGTCTCTTCCAACTCTATGATTCTATGAAATACAACTTTTAAAATGGCATTTTCCCCAAAATAATGAGTATTAGCTAGCATGCTATGTATTTACAAAACAGCTCTATAAACAATGAACCTGTATAAAGTCTCCCACTCTTAGGGACTCAAAGAATGATAAAATGAAAACAAACTCAAAGAAGTTCTCAAAAAGTGCATGTGGAGCAGAAGGTAAGGTTACAGCTACACTGTAGAATGAATACTTTTTCACACCACTTTATGTGCCATGGCTCAATGCGAAGGAATCCCAGGATTGGTAGTTTTACAAAGTTTTTAGCCTTTTCTGCCAAAGGATGCTAGTGCCTCATCAAACTGCAATTCCTAGAATTACATAGTATTGAGTAATATCTGTCAAAGTATTGTCCAACTGTATTAATTGAAACAAAGTCTAATTCTCTTGTTCTTTCTCTTGTTCTTCAAGTGGAACGAATGGTGCTCCATCTCCTCTTTGACTGTGTTTTCCTATATGGTAGGGATTTGGACTTGGTGGACCATTATAGTGTCTTCCTTTTTTGTTTAATGATTCTGCTCTTCTCTTTCTAATGTGGCCTGTGTAAGAGAGCAACCCATTTAATCTTTGCCCTTGGAATTTGATTTTGGAAATGCTATTTTAGCCCAATTTATTGCTTGCTGAATGTAGAACTGAGAGGAGTTGGGACGTATTCTTTGATTTTCTTTGATTTCCCAGGATTTACAATACTTATTTCATCACCACTACTCTTCCCCTTCTGATTGTGACTGAAGCATGATGCAGCGATTATCTTTAAGTATCACTTGGAAAGCTGAACAGCTTTTTAAAAAAAAACGATGAGAGGCTTTTTCAAAGGCTACTACAAAGGCCACTATCTATTATGGTCCATCCAATTATAGACAGAATTGAGATCAAATATTTGAATAGAGGGGTTTTTCTTTTGTTCGTAGAGGGATAAAAAGGCAAGTTCCATCTTTCAAAATTGAATAAAATGTCTCTTCTATATGGTCAACAGGATAGTCTAGTTCATGGTGATTTGCAAAAGGAATGTAATTATAAATGGGTTACTTATTATGCTAAATAGGCTCTATGTTAGGTTCCTAGTCTTCACTTTGGATCCCAAATAACAGCAGAAATGTGTTCCCAAGCATGCCACACTTTTAACTCTGGGCTTATCCATAACCCCGTATATCTGAGTTACATTTATGAATTTTTGTTTGTTTGTTTACTGTAAAACGGAGAGCTAGCAATTTCTTCTAAATCAGTATTTCTCAAACTTCCTAATGCCATGATCCCATAACACAGTTCCCCCAACCATAAAAATATTTTCATTGCTACTTCATAACTGTAATTTTGCTACTGTTATGAATCATAATGTAAATATCTGATATGCAGGGTGTATCTTCATTCACTGGACCAAATTTGGCACAAATACCCAATATGCCCAAATTTGAAAACTGGGGGGTCTGGGGGGATTGATTTTGTCATTGCTGGGATTTATAGTTCATCTACAATCAAAGAGCATTCTGAACCCCACCAATGATAGAATTGGGTCAAACCTCCCACACAGAACCCCCATGTCTTGAAGGGAGTCACTGATGTAAGTCTCCCTTGAACCTCACATGCTCTCCCTTGCCTGCACATGTGCACCATGCTGCCTTGCACCAGGCAAGCCTGGTTTCTCCTCACTCCTAGTAGTCCCTTGGTTGAGAGGCCAGCCAGTCACAGCAGGAGAGATTTTGATAGGAAGAGGAGGAGGGGAAGGCAGGATGGCGCTGCAGCTGCTGGGTCGGCTGTCCTTCTTGCCCTCAGGCCTAGCCACCGGTGGGCAGTTGTGGGCTATTTCCCCTCTGACTGCAGTGGCAGTGAGGGTTGCATCCAAAAAGAGTGGAAGCAGCTCCAAAAACCTTGGTGGGAGAATTCCTGGGAAACACTACAGCTTCAAAAGAATGGATGGACAGTTTGTTCATGCGGGAAACATACTAGCAACACAGCGAATGATTTGCTGGCACCCAGGGGCTCATGTGGGGATGGGCTGCAACAAGTGGCTGTATGCACTTGAAGATGGGATTGTGCGATACACCAAGGAAGTCTATGTGCCACGTCCCAGTCATGAGGAAAGCAAAGACATCATCTGCCAGTTGCCCAGAGGAGCAGTGCTTTATAAAATGTACATCAATGTAGTCCCCACGGTTGAGGTGGGGAGCTTTAAGTTGGTCAACATGCTGTAAGACTGTCCAGAAGATACCAGCCAAGAACTTGCTCAGAGGGATCTGACCCCCAGCAACCATCAGTTCTGTTCTTCTGAGTGACTTGGTTTAGTTACCTACTGTTTCATGAGCCATAGCTGAGGTTGTCTGGGCACCTTGACTATACTGTCAACAATGATTTCTGCATTGTAAAGGATGTATATTTATATATCTGACTGATAGGAAAATTGTCTATCTCTTTCCAAAAAGGAAGAGAAGAACAGGCAGAGAGATCTTCAGCCTTCTCTGCCAAAAGGGCTCATAAGACCATCAGAAATACATGTTTTCTAATGGCCTTTGGTGACCCCTATGAAACCCCGTCATGACCCCCAGGTTGAGAAATGCCATTCTAAATGAATATAGTCTAGAGCAGTCTTAGGCTGTCTGATGTAGGAGGGCAGCAATCATCTCCCCTCTAATGTTCCATGGACTAACAGCATATTAGTCCTAATTTGCTTTATTGTTTCTTTCTTCCCTGAAAAGTTGCCATGGATTGGCATCTGATGATTGATGGACCTGCACCAGTCCAGATCCAAAGACCACTCCTTTGTTTTTACTGGAAATTATGCGTGGTAATCTAGTCACAGATGAATACCGGGACACAAGCAACATTACAGTGCATCAAGATGGCCAAAGTTATTGATGGGGTTGAACAATCTTGAAGGGTCTGTAGGGGCTACGGTACACCCGCCTCTCTCTTCTTTCCCCTGCTGAGTTACTTGTAATCTACTTTTGCCATTGTAACTCAGTTTGCAGCAACTGAAGTAAACTGTATGCAAAAGGGGAAAATGAGAGAAGAGAGAGAAACTGGGATATCTGAAAAATAGGACAATTGAGGATTATTTAGGATTGCCCCTGCCAAATCAGACTCCACCAGTTGAAGGATAAGTACTTTGAGCAGCACTGGCAAAGACTACAAAGAAGTCATGGAGAAAAGAATACTACTTAAGTATTATATTTATCTTTTTCCTCTGAATTCAATACATTATGACTACTGTTTTGAGGGAACCAGTATTTTAGTTTCTCCTATCATAATCTGACAAGACATGTTATCACACGAATTTTCTAGCTCTTCCAGGTGATTCAGAAATTACCATAGAGTCATACTGAAGGCTCTAGCAAATTTCGAGATATGATGCCTCTTTAAAATTTTCAAGGTTCTCCAGATTGAATCAATGGTAACTTCCAGTAGAAGTCATTAATTTCATAAGGGTTCACTATTATCCATGGTTTCTGTTTCCCTTATATGCTTAGGAATGTACATATATCTCCCATGATATGAGGGTTGTTCTGTTGTCTTGCCAAAGGGTCCACCTTTTTGGAATTGCATTGCGTCAATTCCTTCAAACTGTGGAAGGTCTCCTTTGCTCCAGAGTGCTGCCTTGTGTACATCACTGCAGTGTTAGACAAAGCCATTAGCAATTCGGCTTAAATGATGACTGGCTTTTCTTCAGTTCCAAAAGGGAAAGTGCAGTTGCCTGAGAAACTACTTTTTAGATCTTACTTAATTGTAAGACATAATAACAGTTGAGATTTTTAACAGAATGCTTTCTGAAGCCCTACTGTATTCAGATTCCCGAGCTATGAGTTATAGGGGTGTTAATTATTGCTCTAAGACAAAAGTACTCTTATTTTTTGCATGAGGATTTGGTTAACCAGTTAAAATTCATGAGTAAACCAGTTTTTTTAACCTGAAATTTTTCAGGTGGGGGGGATTGAACCCCTCCATTTAGCTACATGCTTGGGATCTTAGATAGTGGGGATTTTGTGAAAAGCAAAGTCTAGCAAAGTGTATGAGTTTGTAACCTATAGATCAGCAATAATTAAAAGTACATTAAATGCTGGAACTTTCAGCTTCAATACAATACCAAAGCATTCTGGACTTGTCCTACATTTTAATAGTAACTCTATATCTAATGGCAATCTCTTTTTATGCTTTTAGCTTTCACTACAACTTGTTTCTAAACATCACCTAGAACAGGGGCAGGAATCGTGTCAACTTTCAGCTGTTGCTGAACTGTGTCCAGCATAGGTAATGATGAGGAATGCTGTGATTTACAGTTCAGTAACAGTTCTGCAGGGCCACATGATCCCTAACCTTGAGCATCATTAACCTTTCAGACCTGTGGGATGCCGGCATCTGGGAAAGGTAAAAAATAAGATCCTATTGTAGATGTAAAAATGACTAATTGCAGCACCATGGCATTACATGAAGAAACAAGCAATGTCTGGTTTATGCCTCTGAGTTTTCTTGAGCTGCTGTGAGACTAATTATCATTCTATCAAGCTAACAAACATAGACAAAACACTTATCACTCCAGAACCAGCCAGTTAACTGCCCCTGTCCAGGCAAATAGAGCATTGCCTTTTCTTTCAATGTGGAGAGGATGCTATAGAATCCATGGATTAATTGTACTAACTCTCAGGTTTTTCTTTTCTTCCCTGCCAGCCTTCTCCTCGTTTGTCTCTCTGGATGTCTGGGCATGCTTCAGAATTAACCTTTATATTGCAGCCAGTCATTTTCTGAGCCTGGAGACCAGCACTACATTTCCCATCATGACACCTTTCCAATGTTTCTTACGTTTAAAAATTAAAAATAATACAGATGGGACTAATCATGTGGGCTCCAAAAGGACTACATTGGGGGATCCTAGTTTAAAGTGTTTCATTGGTAAGTGCAGTACATATGTTATGAAGTTGTAATTTGGTATAGTACTTATAATTCTCCCTAGAAGAGGTCTTTGGTCACCTCCCAGCAACTATAGGAACAGACATTACAAGTAACTCACTAGATTACAATGCCTGGAATTCTATAGCATGGGACCATTGCAATTAAAATGATATCAAACTTCTATAATAGTGCAATGTGGATATACAAGTGCAGTCTGAATGTGGCCATTCTAGTGTACAGAAGCTATCGGGATTGAATTTTATGGTAATTGGAAACACTGTCTCAGACCCGAGATAGACACTAGGTGTAGTTTTATCCCAAGACAATTCTCAGATAGATAGATAGATAGATAGATAGATAGATAGATAGATAGATAGATAGGACTGGCAGTAGGGATTGCCATCAGACTTGTCGGTTCTAAATTATCCCAGTCTACAGCTGTGCAACTGCTAGCTTATTTGGAATCCCAGGTTACCACACTTACATTAAATCAGGTGACTCCTGAACCATTCTGGCGGGGTAATAAACCGACTCAAATTAAAGCTTTCCTTCAGCAGATTGTGCCTTCAGAATTGCTGACATACCCTTCTATTTAGTTTTAATTGGAAATAAAGTGGAATATGTTTTGTGACCCATTGCACTGATTTACACGGGACTATTCAACTCAGTCCTAGAAACATGCAATTTAAAACACCATTAAGAGCTGGTTTCTGACCCCACCTCCTCAATTCTCCCAGCCTGGGAGAAAGCAGCTCTCAAAATGATGGTATTCTGACAAGTCTATTATGCATTTTGCTTGCCCACAAGAGTCCTATTAAATTCAAAAAACACTTAAGCATTTCTCTTAGGGAGGTGGGAGGAGAAGGGAGCCTCCATCCATATAAATAGATTTGGGTTTATCAACTAGAAGGGAGTTCTCAGCTTAAGGTGTGTAATTATCATATGACTCATTCTAGGTGGCATTTGTGGCATAGTTTTCAGACAGGGCCCAAACTCTAAGAATCTTATGCAACAGTAAAGTTACATTTAAATTCATAGGTATGCCATGGTGATTTGTAACAACAACAACAACAACAAGCTATCAAATCTCATTTGATCTGCTTGTTAGCAATGTTTAAACAAGTGGCAAGAGGCAGGTGATATATTTGTTACAACATAAATTCTATTTATCTCTGTCTTGGCCTATGCAACTTCTGGAATAAAATGTTGCCAACCCCAAAGGTTATATTTTCTACATTCATCTATTTGCCCTTGCCATTGTCGAAGCCAGAGTTTGGAGCAGTTCCTTTTTTTAATGACAAATCTCTCAATCAGCATGGGAGTTTTAGTCTGAAGTGACCTCCATAAGTTCCATTTCCAAAGTAATTTTTCAAAGCTCTGAGAATTCTCATGGCATTTATTTGTTATTGTTGTGTTGCCCCAAGTCATCTCTAATGTATGGTAACACTAAGGTGTAGCTGTCTCAGGGTATTCTTAGCAAGATTTCTTCAAACAATGTTTACCTTTGCCTTCTACTGTAGCTGAAAGAGTGTAATGTGCCCAAAGTCACCAGTGGGTTTCATGCCTGAATGGGAATTTGAACCTTAGTTTCCAGAATTGTAGTTCAGTGCTCAAACCACTACACCAGATTGACTGAGGGCATTTATACTGTGGACACTGTTTCTTCTGTGTTGAAAAAAAATTACACTTTTCTGCATTAAGCAAAAGAGACCAGAAAATAATTTGAAAAGCTCAAGGAGATTACAAATGGATGGCAACATTGTGTGACCTCTTTGGTGAAATGTGAATAACTCAGGCATGGTTTTACACTCAGCAACTAGTATGGGAAAAGATGATCAATTACATCTAGTCATTAATGGTAAAATCTAGAGCAGTGATTCCCAACCTTTTTTTGACCAGGGACCACTCTCCAACATTAGAACCAAAAGGGTTATGAATCAGTTTTTGGTCTACTTTAGATTTGATTTAGTTATTTGGGGTGTTGATTCAGAAAATTACATCAGTTCTAGTTTCTGATACAGAACACATAGCATCCAGTAGTCACCATCTGTTCACCCACAGAAAACTATATTTAATAATCAAGAGCTGATGTGGTAGTAGTAATCTTTTTAGGATAGTCAGCTTCTCCCCTCCCAACATCCCTGTTTTCTCTGCACTATAAGAAGGTTTTGCGAGACCAGTTGCTCTCATTGCCACATGGTTTTGAGGCAACGGCGTAGTAATGGTGAAGCCGCAGACCACATTTTCATTCTTGTGGACCACTGGTGGTCCATGGATCACAGGTTGGGAACCACTACTCTAGAGGAAACTATCAGCTTTTGTAGGTGCAAGACAAATGATTAAGCTGTAGTCCAAAAACAGTGTCAGACTAGAACCAAATTAT